TTACATCTTTCTACCTCCCCATTCGACTTATATTTTCTTTTGTATACCCAACGAAGACAACCAGTTAGTTTTGACTGAGGGGTAAATCAGTAATTTCTCAGCTTTGATTTTTGAGAAGAGCTTCCATCTCTTCATTCATTGCTTTTACCCAATTAGGGTCTATTGAAGCCTTCCACAACTTCAACAACTAACTATCTTTTGATAAATTGATTTGACTTCCAAATACACAAGGATGATCATTACCTTATTCAAAGCTTGCCTTATCCCTATCAAGTACATCAAAACCGTCCCCACCTCTTTCCAGAAGGCTTCTGGAATATTCCAATTAATCTCTAAGAATTAATTAATATTCTAGCCTTTCAATTAATTAAAACTATTTTATTAATTCCAAAATAATTTCCAATTAATTTATTAATTACTTAATAAATTAACAAATTATTTTTCTCCATTTCCTTATTGCTAATTGTGTTATGAGGCCAACCCAAAAGGACTTTGTTATTATTAGAAATATTACCAAACAGTTAATGACCTTAGACATATATTCCAACAAATTTGTCACTAACACTCAAGTTTCTCCATTTGCATCTTGTGTTGTTCAAATTGTCCCAAAATCCTCATGATTTCATTGTATTGTTCCATGACAAGCCTTGAATCTACCATTTTGTAATTATTGAAATTACTTACAATGAACTTCTTACTAGAAGCATCCCCTGCCATGTATTTGGATTCAAGTGCATCCCAAAGATCTTTTGCAGATTCGTGATTTTGACAGAGATCAAAGAGAGAGTCAAGCATACCATTCAAGATGTGTCCACGAAAGATGTAATCATCCTTGTCCCACTTGAATCGTCTTCTGGTATGTTCTATGGTTTCATCTTCCATCGGTTTTGGTGCAGAAGTGCTAAGAACATGAACAACTTTCAGAGTAGTTAGAAGGAAATGCAAATTCTTTTACTAACAACGAAAATAATTACCCTCAAACTTATCCAATTTCTCGAATTTGGAACTCATGTCCCTGACAAATTCTGCCATTGATATTCTTCACAAATAACAGATTTTAAATGTTAGATTTTGGGTCTAAGAATATTAATATAAACTTGGATAATTCTAGAATCGTGATTGCATTCACTTTCCAAAATTTGTGATTTCGAACCTATTGCTTGGGGTATCATGAAATCTGATTTGGGATCGATACTCCAAGATTGACAATTTAGAAGTTAGGCCACTTCTAAATTTGAAACACATAAAATTATCTTGTTGTTTTGCGTTTTGAGAGACTGATAGATTCACATAATCAATTTCGGGTATCAAAAGTGTTAACCATTTTCATGGAACATCCATCTTTCTTTTATAGAATTAAGATGGTGGTTGGAAGTTGGTTACTTCCTTCTTGGTGCCAAAAATTCAATTAGGAAGGTAGTTATACATAAAATAACATCAAAATGGGTGGTTACAATGGTGGTTATAAGACATAACCAACTATTACATCATCATGATTTCATAGCCTATTTTGACCGGTCGGCGGAACCACCACCAGGGGTTCTATCCCTTGGATCCCGCCAGGGGAGTTGCCCCTTGGAACCCAGTCTCTAGGTGCGCTGCCATCGGATCCCCATATTCTTGAATTCACATTTATCATTCCTAGCGTGCACCACACACCTCTAATCTAAAATAGTAAACTGAACTCAACATGTATAGATAGTAATTATAATTACACTAACATATGTTGATAACACTAAGGTGATGTTTGTTTTTTGTCTGAGTATTTTCTTGGCTGCTTTTGTTTGCGTCGTGCAGACCACGCACAAACATTAGGTTTGACAGATTGTTTGTTTTTTAGAAGACAACAAACATAAAAATGTATGTGCATCCTCTTCGTGGCCTAGATGTGGACTAGAGTGTTCTAACATGTTCATACATTATCTAGCCTAAAAACACTTTTTTTCTTCTTCGAATGTTTTTTTGTAACTTCTTCAAACATTACTATTTTTTGTTTGAATGTCTTTGTTTGTAATATTTCCTCATTTTAGTTACAACGAAATACAATAGATATCAAACATATCCGTCAATTTATACCATTTTACTTTTTTTTTTTATATATTACAACATATTATTTAAAAAATGACATAATTATCCTATTGCCATTAAAATACAAAATAATTTAGACATATATATTAATCATAATATAATGTCATATAAAAGAAATAAAATAGAAAATTGGTTATGAAAAATGAAAGTGTTATACAATACTACATAGAATTTGATCTAGAATTACTTATAAAAAGTCATAAAAGTGTTAAGTTCAAAAGATAATTTTTTTATAGAAAATTTTGACTAACGACAAAAGGTTTGTATGATTCCTATTGAATCTCTTATATGAATTGAAATTGAAAGAAATTTGAATTTGATGGAACCTTTCGGTCTTATAAAACTTAAACTATTTAAATTTTAATATTGAAAAACTCTTTTAAGTTTAAAAAATCAGTTTATTTAAATTTTAGTTATTTTAGCAACTTGCAAATGTTAAAAAACAATATTCTTCTTGTACATTGGAGACGTTTGATTCACATCTTCTACTGTACATTGTATATAAAATGTTCTCCGCAGATTGTAAAAAAACAAACACCTAAGTCACCAACATTATTGACCCAAAATCTAATATTTCTAATTTCAAATGGTCTTGGACCCGTCTCAAATTGGAGTTGATCCGAAATCAAATCCTATATGTTTCAACATTAAAAGGTACTTTTTTATAAGAATTAAAAAAAAGTAAATTCTTAAAAAAAAACAACGATTTTTCCCATGAATTTTGAGCATTCGCATTTTCGCATCATTCTCACTTGTAGGACGATAAGACACCCAATGTCTTTTAAGTATTTACAATAAATAGTATGTACCAACTATCAACAAATGCTCATCATCTACATCATTTAATAGCATTTTAATTTGTCTCAATTTTCATTTTTATTTTGTGGAACCGAATATTTGTTATATTACATTTTTTATGTCTAATACTTATTTTAAAAAAATATTGAATATAATTATTTGAAATACTGTAGCTTTAAATTGTATGTAAATTTCATATTAAATTGCAAAACAGTAACGAACAAAACCAAATGAGTTGGCTTCATTTGCATAATATTAGCAGGCGTGGACGCAGGATTTTACAGTAGGGGTTGCACGGGAAAGTTAAGGGTTGCACGGTAGTATAAAAAATAAAAATTTCGAAAAAATTTTCACTGCGGCCGAAAAAGTTAGGGGTTGCCGGTGCCACCGTGGACCACCCCCAGGTCCGCCCCTGAATATTAGACATAAAAATGCCTAACATAAACAATAAATATTTGGATCCTCTAATATTTAAAGCACCTAAAATACCCTTTTAACGTTAACAAATAACAAACAAATGAAAATCAATATCATCCACACTAACTTATTTGGTTTAGTTTAAATAAGTTGCAACATGTTATTTCTAGTTCGAGTTTCCTAAAAACCCATTTAACGGACAAGTGCAAAAATCTCCACACGTGATTAATCTATAAGTAAAAATCTAAACGCCATATAACTATGTCACATGTTTAAACCTAATTCTCAAGCTTTTAAGGTTGTGGAATATGAAGTTATAGTCTTCAAGATGAAGCCATGAGATGGCATGTCCCATCCCATGCATGCTTTTCCAAACTTAATTCTACAAATCTCCAAGTTAAAGAAAATGAAAGTAATATTTGGCTTCACACTTTGCCAACCCCAAATACAATACAAGCTAACGGCTTTTTCTTTTTTATTTAATGGATTAAACATTACATTGTTGTTTGTTTTGACTTGATTCAGACAGAATGACCCAATGGGTTAAGCCAAAAATCTAACTTAATGAATATTGTAAATATTAATTGTAAAAATTGTTTTTTAAACGTAAAGGATAAAATAATCATTTATTCATATTCACCATTTATTTGTACACAACATTTTATCCAAACAATCATACCCATTCGGTCATTTTACCGTTTTACCCATCAATTCTCATCAAAAGTTATTCTCTTACTTGATCTTCTTTAACAATCAAGACTACTAGTTGTTATGCCTTTAAAGGAACACATACAAATCCAAGATTTCTCATCTATAAAGAAATCATCCAACATTCTAAATCTGTATTTTCTTTCCACCCATCCACCATGAAATACAATGAAATTTTCATTTCCAATTTCAACCACCATGAACATGAACATGAACACAACCACAACTACACCCAAATCCCCTTCAAATGCAATGGTTGCAAAGAAGCTGGAATAGGATCCAACTATACATGCACCACATGTAACCACAACTTACACATCCATTGTGCTCTCCCTTCCCCTTCCATCTCCCACCCTTTTTACACCAAATGCACATTCCAATTCCTCCCCACCCCACCTGGCTCACAACCCCGCTACTGTAACGCCTGTGAAAAAGACATCTTAGGGTTCCTCTACCACTGCCACGCGTGCGGATTCGACCTACACCCATGTTGTGCAAAGCTTCCAACAATCTTGGATGATGGTGAGGTTAAACTCTATTTGTGCCGGAAAGTGAGGTCATCCTGCCACCGGTGTGGCGGCAGAGGGCGGAGCTGGAGCTATAGGTCGGTATGCAAGAAGTATAACTTGCATGTGGCGTGTGCAAAGGAGATGTTGATGGAGAGTTGGCATGAGATATGTTATGGTGAGGTTTATGGTAATTATGGTGGTGGCATGTATGGGCAAAATTGGAATGTGGAGATAAAAATTCCTAGTTTGAAGGGGACACTTATGAAGAATTATCATAAAAAAAGTAAAGGGAGAATGAAGAAATGTTGTAAGATAGCTGGTTTAGCTTTGCAATTTGTGATATCAGCTGTTCTTGGTGATCCGACTACTTTAATCGCTGGTGTTGTTGGTGCTTTAATGTCAGAATAGTGTATAAACTAGTTTATGTTTTTAAGGTTTTTAGTTAAGAACTAAAAATGTGACATAAAATTGTACAAATATATGCATGTATACAGAAGATTATCTTGGGAAGAGAAGAACTCAGCATTCTTGATCCTAAAAGCAGATTTACTAACATGGTTTCCATAAAAAACTGGATATACAAACAATGGAATGAAAAAACAATCATTTACCCACACCCGTAATTTACATCAGGTAATGTGACAACAGATTTGAAAGGAATTTCCACTCTTTCTTTCACAAGGCATCGACTTTCACCATTTTCAACAACCAAAACCTTCCCAGGTGGACATTCAACCATCATTTCTCCTTTTTCTTGATTCCTTTGTTCTTGAGACATGCCCAAAACCTTGGGTAGACTCCCTCTTCTACCGAATTCAAAACCAGACAAATGCAGAGCAGCTATAAAACCAACAATTGGAAATACCCTTTTTGCAGCTGCAACAATAATTTGTCTCAACCCCTGTAACGAGGTTCTGGGCTCTGATTGATGGAAACTTCCCTTTGGTTGACCATTTAGAGGGCCATTTGTGTGTATTTTGGGTGTTAAAGAGAAGTGTGATAGGTAACCGGTGTCAGGGTCAAGGGAGGGAGAAGGGCGAGTTGGGTATGGAGGAAGAAGAAGATCGTTGTTTTCTTTCTCTACTGTTGAGCTAGCAAAAGCAGTGGCTTCACGTATGACATCTAAGTCCTCCCCTTTGTATGCTTTTAGCTTCTGTAGCAGCTTTTTGCGACTGTAATCGATCTCAGCGAGAGATGTTTCCTTTTCATACCATTGCTGCTGTTGTAATGACTGAAATTAGAGGAAAGTGAGAACATTTGGTAAGAAACATGGAGTCTGTTTGGAACAACTCTGATATATCTACAGAATTACTACGTTTATTGATTTGATGTACGAAAAAACAAAACAGGGTCTTTTGGAATGTACAGCTTAGCGTTCATTGGCGATATCTGCATTAACTTCATGAGTCATGACAAGAACTACCAATAGAATTGAATCAACCCCAAATTTGTAACGAAACCCATAATAATTACAAGGTTTCAAGTCACAAATCAAAACAAAGCTCGTGGAGGAGTCCAGAATTAGGGTTTCTATAAATCCCCGTAAAAATTCAATCGAAAGAGCACAAACACACCTGCAAAGAAGAAAGTTGAGCCTCAAGGACCTCGAGGGAATCGCGAATGTTCAAAAGGCTCTCGGCTTCTTCTTCTTCATCATCTGCTTCTTCTTTATACTCTGTTCCTCCCTCTAGTGTTGTGGCATCAACAGATGATGCATTGTGAATGCAGTTGGTGATCTTGGACCGCAGCTCCGAAGCTCGAGCAAGTACCATACCTATACCGTCTTCTTCCATCTTGATTTACGTCTCGACTATGATTGATAGGGTTTTGAAGCGCCAAAATTAGGGTTTACACGGATACAAGTGATTCTGCTGATTTCCCAACAGATAGACAAACGACTTTCCTCCTATCAAGCAGATAACATTTATTTTTCAGAAAAAATAAAAATAAAAATAATACACACAATAATTTCGGAATCCCGGAGACCCGGACCACGGATAGCATACTTGACGTAATGACGCGTAGTCATGTTTAGCTCGGCCAAAATTTGGTTTATACTTGTGAAACGAGTATATATATATACACTATAAAATTCTAAATAGATATATCGACTATAATAATTATTTTTTAAAACTTCTTACAATCATATAGCTATAAAAATTAAAAATGGTCTAAAAAGCCATAATTTTTAACAAATAATCATCTGCAAAAAAAAAAAAATCATCAATGAAATTATGATTATGATTATTATTATGATGGTCAAACCAATCGTGTTAGACATATTGACTGCGAAAAAACTATGGGCTGGTTGCAAAAATCTTTTGGTCAAGGCCTGATCCAATGGAAGAGTATAAAAACCAATAAAAAATCATTTTTCTCATTCTTACATTACATTTTCACAAAATACTATGAAATTCTCTCTAAAAAAATGATTATAAATGACAAGGATCTTCACCAATCGGTTAATTTTTTATCTCTACCTATGTTTTTTTATTATTATTATTTTTAGCACGAAAATTAGAAACTATAGCATTTTGTAGGATATTTTAGCATGTAACTATACATTTTAGCAAATGTTCATTTGTGAAAATCTCTGTTTTCAATATTTTATACAGTTACATGCAAAATTTTCAGTATTCTTTTAAAAAAGTTATAGTTAAATTAACTTAGAAATTTTCAATATTTTGATTTGGTTGTTCGTGTGTAGCAATTATCAGCTAATGTAGCATGCGTCGTAGTTGTATCACATGTCAATGAATACTAAGACCAACGTCGGTAAGGTAAAAGCTATCATAGTCCGTTTAACCGATAAAAGGATTCAGTTGTTCTGTAGCATAGCGTTCGAACAGTGGGTGTGTGTACCTCCTATCAAGGGGGACTCATTGCTTCTTCTGTAACGTCCCAAATTTCAAACCAAACTTTTCTTTTTTAAACATAAGTAAAACATCCATTTTCCATAAACATAGAATCCAATGTATCAGAATCATCGAAAACAGTAGAAGTCTAAAATGTAAAATAACAATGATGCATATGTCGTACAATTAAATTGGGTCGTTCCCAAGATCAGCAGAACTACCTGTAAAATATTTAATCTGCAACTACCATAAAGCTTAGTGGGTTTCCAAAAGTATCATATATCACATTACATAAATAACGCATACAAACAAAGCTCATAGTCAACACTTCAGTGGGTCTATAAGTACAAAGTAATTATTCCAAAGACATGTTGAAGTTCCAACCGTTCTTCTAGTGGGTCCTGAAGGCTTGCATCCATCTTCCCTAAGGTACTAACATTCTCCGGATGGGTTTGAAGGCTTACAACCAACTTCCCTAGGTTCCAACACATACCAAACAGATAAAGTAACCAACCTAAACACACAAACATACCCTAACAGTACCCATCCAACCTACCACATTGTACATACAATGTCACACACGATATAATGAGAAAACTCATAAAAAAAGCTGAAGATACACTCACGCGAATACTCAAGTATCAATTATGAGAATCACCTACACATATCAGAGGTCTAGCCTTAGTCTACAGCTCCAATCCTTCCAAGTTTGACCAAAAGTCAAATTGGTCAAAAATTCAACGGTTGACTGCAGGCGTACTGTAACCTTAACTGAGCGCTCCACGCCCCAAAAAACGACAAACTAGTCTGGGTTCTTCCAAGATCATGGTGCGGCCTCCAGAAGTGTGTTGCGCTTTATGGCTTAACAAACTCTTTTTCTATTAAGTCCTTAATCCTTCCAGCCAAATGTTGAATCCTCCATATCTGAAACTCCAAAGGATCTTAATGGATAAAGTTTCCAACTTTATCCAGATCTATGGTCCAAACTTCTCAAATCTCAAACCTTAACTCATAATGGGACCTTAATGACAAAAATCCCACGCATGGCTTAATGGAAATGCATGAACTTCCATTTTTCCACCTTCTAAAGGTCCAGAAAGCAATCCAAAATGTTCAAATGGTTGTGGAGTTCTTCAAACTCCAAGAACATTATGAAATGGGACAAAAATGGATCAAAACACCAACTAAACAATAAATCTAAAGAAGTAGAGGTCAAGACTAGAACTTTATACTCATAATGGTCCAGAAATATGGTAAATTTGTTGGATCTAGTCTGGAATCAACCTTCCTTGCACCAAAGAGAACTTCCTTAACCTTCAAGTTTCACAAAAAATGATGAAATCAACTCAAGAACACAAAAAGGAGGCTAGGGTTTGCAAAGGGGGGTGTTTCTGAGGAAATCTCTAGGGTTTAGTGTCTTTACTTGCCAACTAAGGCGGGTCACGCCCTAAATGAAGTGTGTCACGCCTTTCCACATGGCAGGCTCACCGTTATCCAGTCCCAAATCAAGTTTCATATATAAAATCAAAGACTTAATCAAAATAGAAACATATTAGGAATCGGGTGTCACATCTTCATTGACTGATGTTGAATGAGGTTAGACCGGATGATCAACTACTATCCGAGGAGCGGTTACAATTTTTTATTGGCGCTTCAAAACTCAAACTCCAATGATACATTATTAAAAGTATGAAAAATCATATATATCATTTCCATTACCAAAAGTTATGTCCATAGCTCCCATCCGACAATTGTTTCATTTCTCTTTTTGTCTATCATTCTTACTCTAGTATTTATCGGTGTTGTAAAAATCCTGACTAAGTTACGATTAATCTCCGATTAATCCTTAGGCGCTACCCGGCCGACTAGAAGACACCTAGCGATTAATTCATGTCTAGAAAAATAAGCGACGCACAAGCAAACAATAACATTTTAACACTTGGAAGAAGTTTTATCGCCAAATAAATTATTTGATGAATAATTAGGGTTGTAATAATCATATTAACATTTTTTGTTATGATATTAGTGATATCTACGAACTTTGTTATGATATTAATCATATTTAATTTTTTAAAACTCAACGAAATATCAACTTAAGGTCTTCGCTTAATCTCTTGATTAATGTCCGCATAACCGATTAATTTTTTAACCTTAGTCCATCGACAAACTAACATTGAGTGTTTTTTACAACCTGAGTATTTACATTTGTCTATCATTCTTACTCTAGCATTTAAACATCCAACTTTCACAACACTTGAACCACCACCTGTAATATGTTTCATTTCTCTTTTTGAATCTAAAAGTTGTCAAAACATCATCTAAAACTAGACTGTCACGACTATAATATATAATATCATAAAAATGACTAAGATTCGTGAAATAATGACGGTAAGAACATGTCAAGTCTTTATCTCCATATCCAACGTCCATATTCTTCAAGTAATCAACTAACTCTTTGAATGTGGATATATGTTCAACTAAAGAGCTCCTTTCACTCATTTTGAGATTTAACAATCGTTGCTTCAAATGCAAGTTGTTTGGTAAGTTTTTATCCATCAATAATTGCTCAAATTGTAGCTATAAGGAAGTCACTGAAGTTTGAAAAGTGGAAACTTGTCAAACTTCTCAAAATTATCTACTTTAGCCATAAGGAAGCCACAAGTTTCAATACATCTTGTAAGACATCATTTGACAAGTGCAAACCAATCTGGCATAAAGCCTTAAAATCTTTCATCTCCTTCTCCTCTTAAGACCATTTAGCCTTCATTTTCTCAAAACCCAAAAATGAATTGTGTAAATCCATTATATCAGTACATCTATCATCTTTACTTTCCATAAAGGAAACCTAATGTGTCGATCCAACCAGGGAAAATCATGCTTCATCATGCTTCATCGTAGACATGATTAATCACTTGATAAAACAATCCCAATAAACTAATACTAAAATCTAGAAGTTCTGATACCAATTGTTGTAAACTTGGGTGAAATATACCCAATGGATCCAAACATTTTACAATAATATTAGTTCAAAATCAGAAATACCATGTTAGGGAAGGGTTAGAATTTTGGAACATATCTTCCCAAACGAGTAGTTTTTTTTTTTTCGAAAAACGATGTCAAAAAGATTTTTTTATGTCTTTTGTCTTATGAAAAACAATAAGTCTTTTCTTCAAATAAGGCCGGACGGAGTGGGAGCAGGGAAGGGTCGCGGGGAGGTTCCCGCCCGGCGGAACACCGCACCGTCGGTGCGGGGAAGGGTGGTGCGGGAATGGGTGAGAGAAACCTCTCCCGCGTTCTCTCTCCTGCTGTGATTGGGTTTTTTTTTTTTTTTTTTTTGAAATTCAACCGTTATTCAACGGTACAAAAAAAGGAAATAATTTATTATTATTTTTTTTGGGCTGCAACAGCTAAATGGATTTAAATCCATTTTTTTTTATTTTTTTATTTTAACCTTTTTACACATCTATAAATACACAACTATTTACCATCAAACAAAATTCACACAAATCCTCTACTCTCTCCACTTTCTTCTCAAAAAAAAAATGAATCCCGACAATCAAACCCCACCTTCCGATCGAAGGAAAAAAAACCATGGTTCGAGTATAAACATCCCTTATCGAAACATTTTTGCTATCGATTCATCACCACAAGTAGTTTATCGCCCCCAAATTGATGCTCGCATTCAATCCCCACTACAATTTCAATACCAAAATGTTGGACAATATTACCCGATGCAAGTTCCAAATGTTCGCCGCAAATGTTTTCAAACTTTGTTGTGTTTCTGGATCAACAATCGCCAAATCAACCTCAACCTCAAACCCAAACTCAAACTCAAACCCAAACCCACCAACAACGCCAACTTGTCGACGAGTTGGATGACTCGGAAGAAGAAGAGATGGTTCCCGAAACTCAACTCACACCACCCCCACAAAGACGTAAAGGGAAAAAACAAGCGCGCGAGGGTGTCGTACAACCGGGAAGACAAAAGCCGACTGCATGGCTTCCACACGAAGAGCTAGTTTTGGTCAAATCTTGAGCTGACATTTCTAAAGATTCGATTCAAGGAAACGCACAACCAGGAGACCATTTTTGGTTTCACATTTTAGAACGGTTTCGAGAGGAGCTAGAAAAAGGTGACGACTACCGTACAAAACAACAACTGAATTCGAAGTTTCGAGAAATAGCAAGGGGGTTTAAAAAATAAACGGGTTGTACAACAACCTAAAAACCCAACGGAAAAGCGGCCAAGGGGACGAACAAATACTTCAAGAAGCTTTGCAGTTTTACCTTGAAGAAGTCGGAAAACCATTCAAGTGGCACGATTATTGGAAATTATTGGTTCGATGTCCTAGGTGGAAAAAATACGAGCAATATTTTATTTTTGGAGTCCAACAATCAAAGCGAACGAAAACGGGCTCTAGTGGTTACACAACCTCCTCTGATGCTCGGGTCGGTCTAGATTTAAATCAGGATGACGAACTCGAGCTAGAAGAAATTGTCCGCCCAATGGGTAGGGACAAAGCGAAGAGAAAGGGAAAAGGGACTTCTTCGGGTGCATCTGATTTCAAAGTGGACATTGACGAAATGCGGAAAATAACATCGTCGTTTGATCGATATAATCTTAATTTCTCCGAACGTTTGACTTTCGACAAAGAAAAAGAAGAAACAAAGAAAAAAGAGCGGGCGGAGGGACAAGAAATGGAGGATATAAAGTTTGTGATGGAAAACATCGATCATCTCTCGGGACCGGCTCTCGATCTCGTGATGAAGAAGAGGGAAAAAATTATGAAAAAATATTTTCCGTAAGTCGTTGTTGGTTTGTTTGATTTTTAGTTTGTGTTTTTTTTTTATTTTTTTTTTCTAGTTTTTTAAATTTTAGGTTTAATGTAAGTTTTATTTTAATTAATGAAATGCTTTTTATTTTTAATTAAATTTTATGTTTAGTATTAATTTAAAAATTATAAATCATAAGAAAAACTTATTTAAAAAAAAAATGAGGGAAGGGCTTCCCACCCATTCCTTGGGTTTTAGGTGAGGGAAAGAAATATAAAGGAAATGGGGATATGGCCCACAAAAAATGAGGGAAACTTCCCTCCCATACCCTCCGGTCTAAGAGTGTCAAAAAGACCTTTTGCCAATGACACCACCAAAGATTTACGTGTAAAGCTACGAACAATGGAAGATTATAATAAGCTCTTAACGATGATTGGGTGATTAGGATTAAAAAAAAAAAGCCAATCTTTGCGTGGCCCTTGCTTAATGCCAAAGAAAAGAAAGCAACTCTCAATATAAATGTGATCCCCACGTGGAACATTTAGTCAAGTTTTTACCGATTGATAACTTTAGCCCTTCAACAATAAAGTATTATCATTTTGGAAGATATAATTAATAATTCCACACATAGATTAGTAACCACAATCAAGATCAACCAACATACAAAATAATCTGAACACTTGGCTATGATACCATAAAATTTTTGTGATTCTATGGAAACCTTACAACATGAACAACATATAATCATACATTCTATTTCTCATAGAATGAGATTCTAGAACAAAAGCTCAAACACATAACAACGTCACCACCAACAAATCCATCTAGATTAGAAAAATATGAGAAAATTTTATTATCAAAGATTAGAAACACTTAGGTTCTAAGTTGGCAAGGCTTCTCATAAACGGTGAATATTTTTGAAATTGTTATTCAAGTGACAATAAAAAAACGTTGAACTAAGATCAAACACAAATACCATTTGCACCCCTTTGAGGAAAAACAAATCTCTGCAACTAAAAGTCTATAACCATTCAATAAATTTAAGGAGAAAGACAACTCACCTTTCACCATGCCAAAATATTTAATATAGAATTTAATTATGCAATTTCATGTTTTGATCTCTTGCTATAAAAATTTACATATGCAAGAGAAACATAAACAACTCCAGATCATATAAGCTAAAGAAGCATAGGAATCTCGCTTATACAGTTTTTGAGAAAATTAAATAACGAAAACTGAAGTTATGCGGGACCCACTCGATCTTCTTCGAAGATTTACCCGTTCGAATCAACTTGAAGCTCCTCAAGTAAAACTCGGGGACATAATGTTCAATCATGTCCATCAACCCGTTCATGCACAAACTTGATTCTTTCGCGTACATTTCCACAAGCTTTGGGAGAAACAACTTTTGCCCTTTTTTTATTCTAATGTTTGTATAAATGTACTCTTCTTTTGCCACTTCAAGTTCCTGGAAAACGCTCTTTGGTGTGTAGATTCGCACCTGAAAATAACGTAAAAAATAATAAAAAAAAAATAATGTCCATGATTACCAAGTACAAGACATGACAATACAAGAAGAAAATGTTGTATTGTGTTTGACATGCGCTTGAACGGAAAAGATTGAGACTATGTAAATAGGACAAAAGTTACAATTTTTTGTCTTGTCCAAAAACATAGGAGGACAAGATCTCGATTGCAATCTGTTGTATGTGCAAAGGACGTAAATGTCCTCATTCTCCTTTTCATCATCATCAAAAATAGCCTTAGAAAGCTTGTCCAGTCTCATCTAGTCCAGTCTAGGAATTCAAGATCGAAAATTGCATACCATGGGATCAGAATGGCTTCCAGAACAAAGTGCAAAGTATAAGAGAGGTTGTGAGTGATCTATCGCATAGTCTTTTTGTGCACCATTGGATTTGCATTTAGGCTTTGAGAATAGTAGAGATTGAAGCCACTACAAGCAAGAAAAGTGCCATTAGTTTCATTGGGAACCATAAGAACACTTAAATTTTTAATAGTTGGTGAAGCTTACTTGTCCTGGATGAGGTAACCTGCATCCTAGTATCATTCTTTGGATATCACCAACACTTATGACATGACCACCCACATTATATGCAGCCTGAAACACGTATAAAAACATGGACTTAATGAGGTTGGACTTGATCAGATAAACTATATATGTGTTTATTTTTGACTTAATGTACAAAGAGCGAGAAAATTTGGGAAATAAGGTTTTCCCATTAAGTCTAAACTTTTACAAATTTATCATCATTAAACCTTTCCTTTCGAATTCCTTTAAGTATGTCGTTATTGTCCTAAATATTTTTTGAACATCAATTAATTTTTTATGCGAAAAAGACAAACAAGACTATAGGTTTACCTTCAAGATCAAAGAGATCCTCTTCAAAGCACCACGTGGAGTTCCATAAATCAAGAATGCCTGTAATGTAACATGAGCATTGTCATGGATCAAGTTCCCTAGAATTACATTAATGCTTGAAACAAAATTTTGTGATTTTTACATGCATCACTAGCGCGTTATGAACATTGATCCAAAAAGCTAGCTTTTCTTCAGGCTTCAACTTTCTAGGATCAACTTGTTCCAATTGCGAAACTAGAGACCTGCAAAAAGATCTCACTTTTCAGATCATTAGGCATGAAAAAAACACGGGTTCGGATAAAAAAACCTAAAGGGTGTCTGAAACTCGCCTAAAGGTTCGTTCTTGATGTTCAACATTACTCGATCTTTGATCATTTCTGCAAATACCTTGCACCTCAACCACGCTTGACCAAGATTCACTGAACTCCATTGATGCTTCAAAATCCTTATGTACCCATGTTGTTTCACCTTCACATTGTGGACTCCATAAAACAAACTGGTCTTGTGGTGATGAAGAACCAGTAGGCGATGAAAGGAACCCATGACTCAACAATGGTGGATCAGCAATTTGACAGTATATGGTGGAGATGCACTTTACCATCTCTTCAGAAAGCCGATTTGCAGACATACAAATATCACGATTTTCAGCTAGACTAACACTTGAGAGATCATCCGTAGTGCGCTGGTAAATCAATATTATAATATAGAAGAATTCAAATTCTGATGCTTGACTAAAAATTCCAAGCTTTAGGATGCTTTAAAGATTGATTATTTGTTAAGTTACCTCTAGCATTGCTAATGGCAATGAATGGTATGAATCTAGAGCTTCATGAACAGTTTTTTCAAGAGCATTTGTTCTTAAGGAAAGTGAAGAGTGGCTTCGAAGAACGGAAGAATCTTCAACTGAATTCTTTGGTGGTGGTGGATTTATGTATTCTTGAAAAGCATTACGATACAGTGAGAGGAGATACTCTTCCAAATGCTTAACTTCGAATTCTAGTATGGATATCTCCTTGATCAGATCTTTAACGGGCTGATTAGCACAAAAAATTGATCTTAAAAGAATGAATTTTTTATAAATATATGCGCAAAATGAGTTTTTTTTTTTTTTTACCTTTGGAAGAAAATCTTGATTGATGGGATCATGTAAATGAGGTTGATTAACTGTTGCTTTCTCCAATTCTTTGCGTATTATGAACTGATCCTTGAGTTCCTTTTGAAGTTGTAAAATCTGATAAAAGATCCCAAATAGATGATTATTGAACGTAAGAGAATTAATGAAAGTTCGAATTTTTACCTCTTTGTTTAGCGAGTCTTTGGTGTTCTGGAATTGAATTTCTCCGTGTTCTTTGCGATTCTTTTCCTGTTTCATTGGCTATCGAACGATTCAATACTAAATTCAAGACTTGTACCGATTGAAATACTAAAAAAAATCAATAAATCTCACCATTTTCATATGCTGAGGAGCTGTGAAATTTGTGTTCTTATGGTCATAGATTCTTCGCTCTCTATACATTTAAAGAAGAGAAATGGGTTCAATAGAAAAGCTTGATTTTTCAAAAAATTCAAACAAATGAAATCTGGAAAGTGAATTGTATTAAAAACATACAAAAGGTTTCAATCATAAACAGCAAAACGCAAGCTTTTTGATACGTAGATTGTCGCTAACAAAGCACATTTTAAAGAAAGTCGCAGAGGAAAATCATCGAACAGTAGGTGTGCACACGTGTGAAGATTGAAGAATACCTCTTACAGCACTCGTGCCTGGAAACAAATGATTTCATGTTTGCTTCAAACTTCAAAAAGAAATAGTAGAATTGGAGATGGACCCACTTTAATGAAGCATCATTAATTGCGATAAAGACCACATATTCTTAACATTACATCATCAACTACAACAAGAAGGACAACAAAATCGAGATCCCTCAAGAACAGAGGACGTGTTTAGAAACAGAGTAAGCCTAAAACCATTATTGATTCTCCAAAAATTTTGACTTTTTTTAACTAATAATTCAAATGGGTTTTATCTAAAGTCACTAATAATTAAAACAATGAAGCTTCTGAATGACATGCCATCCTCCTCTGTAACAATGGCAGCTCATGTATGTCTTCTTGAACTATATCAGCATTTTTACATTAATTAAATATATTTACAGTTACTTTGATTTACACGAATGTTAATGTGTTAAAGTTAAACTATAACAAATGTAAATATATTTGATCAGTCACTAGTCTTCGAAAGTGATGCTACCTTTGTGTATGCGCCTTTTGCAAAGTGTTGGCTTTTGTATTGTTGCATCAAAAGGAGTAATCCAAGTCCAAAAAATTGACACATGATGGAAAATTCAATATTGTAGTGTTTGGTATTCAATGCTTGAAAATATGATTCTACCCTACAACTAAATCTGTAATTTCTTTCTTTTTTCCTTCTATTTTCATTTTTCAAGAATGCAATCTGCCAATCTTTGACCTTACAAGTCAAACAGAATTTTGAAACAGGTAGTATAAGTAATTTTTCCATTTTTAATTAACCAAACCACAGTAATTTGATGAGGGATGTAGATAAATACAAACACAAACATATTGTGAATCTAACCTCACTAAAATCGTTCTCAAAAGGGTACATAACTAATGTTAGTACGTTTGACTTTTGAGTATAAAAACTAAACAGAGTTTGAAACTGAAAAGAATTAATTTTTTTACGTAAATAGATCTTATAGGCTATAGCTATGTTAATATATATAAAAGATACCAAGATATAAAAAAAAATGGGAGACAAAAAGCTACAAGAATATATGCTAATTTAGAATCTTTAAACCCAACATGTATTGTTGACTTTATCTTTTGGTAAAACCAATCTTGATATTTGCTGAGATTTAGTATGGGGTTTCTGTAGCATTATGGTTTTAACTGTAGATTAATTGAACAAAAAAGGAGCCTAAAAAGGGGTGAAAGTCGAAGAGTCAAATGGAAAGCAAAAAAGAATTGGTTAAAAAGAAAAGAAGTTGACTGGTTAGTGTGGTGGTGTAGCCTTTTTTTGTCTAATTCCAAGTTAAAGGTCTCCAGTCTCCACTAGGTTCTGGATGGGATAATGGTGCACCAAGGTCCCATTTTTATGGGCTGGAAAACACCAACAAAGCTTTCTAAACTTTTTCATATCATCTCCCAAGAAAATAGAACATATAGTTGGCAATTACCACACATTTTTATCTAAAAATTGATTTAGTTTGAACACATTTTATCTCTATGTGATTATATAGGTATCATTTTATTAGGATCAAGCAAGCAAATGAGAACTCAAATATTTATAAGAACCCAACAATTTATTTTTCCTAATGAAAATTTCCAATCAATACACCAAAATCGGAATATTTCTCGATCGTTTTGAACATTCATTTCAAAAAAACTTGTTCACATGCGCATGTATATGCACGGGTGCACATTCTTCCATACAATCTCTGATATTAAGGTGTTGTTTGTTTTTTTGAAATAAAAATGTTTGAAGTCTGCAGACCACATTTGCAACCTTCTGCAGCAAAAAAGGTGGACCAAACGACTGCAACCTATAATAATAAGTATGTTTGTTTTTTAACGTCTACAGAATGTTGCAATAAACCGAAATTAACCATACAATAGTTAAAAATAATTCTAAATCAAAATTTTATTTAGTTTAATCATATGCAAATCAAATATAAAAATCATTGTGATGATATGATTTTTAAAGACATTTATATTAAATAATTAAACATGATATTTGCAAAATAAACAATAAATAAAATTGTTAAGTTAGTGAACAACATGCTCATTTTGTTAAATTTTTGAAAATGATGGTTATTTTTTGGTTAGCTTCAATAAATTTGGTAATTTTAATGATTAACTTTATATTTTATTAATATTTGGTTATAGACAATGTAACATAAAAAAAATATTTATATAAAATTTACTAAATGGTTTTGAAATTATGTAAAATAAACTCGAATTGTTCATAATATTCTTCATAATATAATTAAAATAATAACATATTGAAAAAAAACAAATCTATGTTGAATAATATAACTTAAACTAAGATGAGAAGTGATTTTGAAGATGAGGGTTAGTGATGCGTCACGCAGCACAGACGCAACAGTTTTTAAGGCGGAAGACTTTTAAAAACCAAACAATTGTGAAGGGCAACCAAAAGTGGTCAAAAATAGTTTTTCTTTAAAAAAAACAACCCTTAAGTCTCTTAGGCGTTGTTTTTTTTAAGATCTAAAATGTTTGCAGTCTACATACCATATTTGTAGAATAAAAGTTGGACAAAACGTTTACAGCTTACAAGAACAAGACTGATTGTTTTTAAAGTCTGCAAGTTGTTTGAATAAATTGAAATTAACCATAAACCAATTTTTTAAAACTTAATATATATATATATATATATATATATATATATATATATATATATATTGGGAAAATCAATAGAAAATGCATAAACCTAAAAAAACCTAGGTACCCAAAAAAACTAACAAAAATACATAAAAAATATTTTGAGATATCTATTTTTTTTTTTTTTGACTTTATAAATAAAAAAAGCATATATAGGTACATTTTCGCTGAAAAAAAAAGTAAAAATGATTTTTTTTTTAATTTCATAATATTTTTCAGCGAAATTATATATACGATTCTAATGT